AGTAAAATGTATTTGAATAAAGAATTTTCTCATTACCTTCTCAAAAGATCCGAATCGAACCTTTGAACATAACTTGACTGGGTATATCATGTTGAAGGAAAAGTGTTTCAAATATAATCTATTTTAATAAATGAAGATCCATTTTGCTACATGTCAATTTTTTATTAGTTTTGACACTTGATATTTTATGGTATTTTTGAAATAAATAATATCCGCATGTCAATTTTTGGTTTTTTTCAATTTTAAAAATTAAAAATCTTAGTTATATATATAAAGTATCAATTATAATAAATGAGATTGTAAATTGCAATAAATATGTTTTTTTTTGAATATTTGTTTTAAAAAATATTAAAGGTTTACATTTCAATTTTTAATAATTTTAAATTAACCTGTGTAATACACGGGTTTTACACCTAGTATAGAATAAATACTAATAAGTATAACCAACGACGTAGCTATAAAGGGACGCTCGTGGTACTAACTCTAAAACCTTCTGCATTTTGCATATAAAAAATATATTTGTAAACATGTTGTTTGTCATTATACCCTTAAGGATTGTATTATTTTTAGGATATGATAATTAGAGAACTCATAAGAGTATATTTATTTTGCTATTTACTAAAATTAAATCCATCTGAACGTCATTCCTATGAAGACTCGGCGAACACAAATGTAATATTTGTTTATATTATGTGTTTATGATTTACCATTGCTTATAAAACAACTCTTTGCAAATACTATTTTGAATACTGACAATATTGTATTCCTATATTAAAACTAGTCCACCCATAAAAGAATCAAAATGGCCAAATAAAAATAGTCATCAAACTAGTTTTATACAGTGACGGAGCCAGAACAAAATGTCAGGGATATGCAGTAGCACGTGTAAACTTTAGGTGTAACATACTGTAAAAAGTACATTATAGTGAAAAATATCTCAAAAAATTCCACTGCACCTAAAAAATTGAGAGTAGCATGTGCTACTCCGGGCTCCTTATGTAATAACAGAGTTTGATCGAGTATGTAAAGGACATGACATAATATATAAGTATATTTTGTAAATTAAGGCTTTATCTATGGTTATTGTGTAATGATGTTGCGTAATGTTAATTTAAAACAAGTATTAAAAATTATGAAATTACATAGCATAAATTAGTGAATGTGAAGAGATTATAGTGAATTTTGGGTCTTACAACGTGAGAATTGGAGTCTCACGACGTGGGTAAGAACGGTGATTGAGTTACATAACTGAACAGTGACGACATTGTACTTTGGCAATGTCACGACACGAGGGAGGACACCTTACGACATGAGAAACTATATAGCCTAATATTTTTCACGATGGATCTTGTCTTGTCGTGTAAGGAATATGTCACTAAAGAGAGAGCTCATGACGTTACAACAAAAGTGTCACGATGTGAGGACGAATCAGAGCATAAATTAAATTACGTCCACAAGCAGGGCATGCTTGATCTTTACACTTCTAAAATCTACTTTAAGGTGTGATTTACATACACTTAGCCATTTCAAGTTCGATTTTGATGGAATATAAGGGTCTAAGCTTCAATTTGTTCAATCAAGGTACATATAAACACTTCTAACACCTTTTTCTTTGAATTTGGGGCGAAATATGAGGGTTTTTGGTTGCAACCCTCGACGAAGGGTTTGAGTCTAACTAATGAAATTAGGATGTTAATTGATATATTATGACTTGATGTTAGTCGAATTCAATGTTTATGAACCTTGTATGTTACTCTTGATCTATGAGGATTAAGATATATAAGTGAAGGAAAAGTGACTTAATGAATTAAGTCCTTAAATAGTAAATTATGATGTGTGTGATGATCCAATAGGTAAAATAAACTTGTTACGAGTATTTAATAATTGAAAAATATATATAGATTTCATCCAAAATGAAATGAAGATAAGCTTTATTAAATGAGAAATAATGCATATAAGTTGAAATATCAAATCTATCACGATAATAATGTTTCTGGGATAATTGTGATTAGGGAAGCAAGAGGAAGGTACAATCAAGGCGGTTGTAAGCTCGAATACCAACCAAACAAACCTTAAAACAAGGTAAGTAAACTAAGTTTTACTTATGAGTTAAATTAATGAAATTTTTATTGTTATATTTTATGTAAAGAGAAATTAAATATCCTCCTACTTTTGTTCCTACAAATCCTCCTACCTAATTAAATGATGACATGTGTCATATTAATATATTAAAATATCATTAAATCAACATTAAATGATACACATGTCACTATTCAATTGGGTAGGAGGATTTGTAGGAAGAAATAGTAGGAGGATATTTAATTTCTCTTATGTAAATAGTGTGATGTATTGGCGTTAATTATGTCAAGGAAATAGGAAGGATTTATGTTAAACTCGGATTGGAGTTAACATGTGGAAAGTATGTGATATTATTGGAAGGCTTGGATCGGAGACATTAAAGAAAAGTGGGATTGTTGAATAGGGTACTTTTAGTGTAACGTCCCTTTTTCACAACAAAAAATTTTCATTTTTATTAAGATAAAAATTCCTAATTTATTAGTTCATTAATCAAGAAAACCATTTATTTCGAATTACATTTATTAAAAACCAGAGTATTGTAGAAATACGAAATCTTCATGCTGCTGATGAGTGTGTACTGTCCCACCTTTGCCTCCCAGCAATAATCGATGATACCTGAAACCATAAACAACTGGGTAAGCATAAAGCTTAGTGAGTTTCCCCCAAAATACCACCATATAAACAAATCACATATATAATATAATCAAACATGTCAGGTCCAGTTAACCATCGACATGGAATACACCAGACCCAGTCAACCTCTGAGTCCAGTCATCTTCGAGATGGAATACCCAAGGTTGGAATACCAATATAAAATAGGTCCAATCAGCCTTCAGGTTGGAATACCCAGGGTTTATTGGCCTACCGCCTCAACCCTGCCGCTATTTCCAAGCCTCCGTGCATACGACTTACAGTCGACCTGCACCGGGTATATTGGCCTACCGCACGCATACGACTTACAGTCGGCTCGCACCGGGTATATTGGCCTACCACGCAAAGCAGGACCACCTCAATCCAAACCAAACTCAATATGTCGACATATAAACAATTAGGATCAAGTAGGCACATGATACAAGCAAACAGTAATCCTACAACTCACTACTGCCTACTAATCCTATTACAAAATACAGTCCCACTACTAGCTAACCCCATAGAATGCATAACTATAAGTAACTAAAGGTGAGATAGCCACCCGAACAGATGGTCCTACTCTAGAGCCACAACCAAACAAGGAACAAGCAAGAGAACCTAGACCAAGAGTTCTCAGGCTATCCTACATAATCATAGACAATCCCTAAGTGCATTCCATAGATGATAACCAACAAGCACAGAGAAAATATAGTTCTACAGGTTATTACCACAAAGAAACATACTCAATACTGGGAGACAGATCTAACTGATCACTACAACATATCAACATACCCAATACCAGAACACAGATCTAACAGATCACTACAACATAGCAGCATACTAAATATTAACAATCCAAGGAATGTGTGGCCGTATATACTTAGAGGTAAGATAGTCACCCGGACAAGTGATCCTACTCTAGAACCACAACCAAACAAGGAACCTGTAAGAGAGCTTATATCAAGAGTCCTCAATCTATCCTACATGACTATATACCGCCCCTATGGCATCCCTCTACTAGTAGATAACCAAAACTTTTGGGCCTACATTGGTGCCTTCGACCCACTTGTACAGTGAGGCAAAACTCACCTCGATGTGCGTGTAGATAACCACTGTAACAATGAAGGACTCTACCAGCTTCAGCTAGCTTCCAATCACCTACATGAGGATACTTGAGTCAATACTCGATCATAGGTCATAGTCACTCGCAACAGTGACCATCTCACATGAAATGACAATTAGGGTTTCACATAAAATGACGATTAGGGTTTGGTAAGAACACCTAACACATTAAGGACTTAATCACTTAAGGGTATAACTGATTTAAGGTTTGACTTAGTCATTATTGGGTGAAATAGTAATCCAATCAATGGCCCAAATACACATCCGGTCATTGTCTAAATAGAATTCCCCTATTCTAGGGTTTTTCACATAGAATGATAACTACGGTTAGTGTTCCACACTTAAACCCTTAAGGATTTAATCCATTAAGTCCAATATTGCATTAGGTTAACCATAGGGGTATTATTAAGTATTATTTTAAGTTTAATTAATAGTTTTACGCGGGTCCCGTCCAACTCCAAAAACTAGGGTTTCTTGACATTAGGGTTTTCTAAACCCTAATTGGGGTTTCTAACTCCTAATTTAGATAATTAGCTAATTATATATATATATATATATATATATATATATGTGTGTGTGTGTGTGTTTATAAATCGGGCACCACCCACTACCACATCGGGCAGTGGTGTTCGGCGGCGGTTCATGGTGGTAGGAGGCGAAACCACAATTTTTATGGAGGGAGTTATAATTTTTTAGGTCAAAACACACACATAATCACACAACCACCTAAGGTGGAAGCTAGTTGTGGTAGAATGGGGACATGAGGTGGAAACCACCACCTCACGGTGGTTCCTCTTCGGTTTCTGGCCAACAAACACACACACACGATATCGACTGAAACATGCATACACACATCGAAATAGGATGAAACACATTCACACACACACACACAAAAACCCAGACAACACAACCACTCTCGTGGTGGTAAGCGGCGGTTGGAGAGTGATGTGGTGACAGCCGCATGGTAGCGACTGCAGCGGTCGGACGAGCTCAACGTTTCAAAAGGAATGGAGAAAAAAGAGAGAGTAATTACAGCAGTAACGCACACACACGCGAAACATTAACATCGCTCAGCTACCCAATCATGGTGGCATGCGATTAACGGAAGGTTGTTGGCGAAGGGACAGCCACCGGAGCAGCGATAACGACGGATGTGAAGTAGCGACGACATGAACGAAGAGGGAGGAAGGGAAGTGGGTGTACCATTACCGGAGGGAGACAACGACGACCTTGGACACGATTTTCCGACTGCCCATAATAATGGTGTCCACATGTCGATCGCCACCTTCGTTGATAACAACAGTGGCGGAGATTGGTTTTGGTGGCTTAAGGCGGCGCCAAGGGGCTGGTGGCGGCTAGAGGTGAGTGGGTATAAGGGTGGAGGCTGTGAGAATGTTGTAGGGTTAGGGTTTACGATTGATATGCAAGGGAAAGAGAGGTGACAAGTTTTAGACCTCGTCAATATTCAAACTTCAATCCATTTTGACAATTATGGCCCCTCCCCTCTATTCCTTTCAATTTAAGCCCACAATTTACCAAACAAGCCCTGCTTCACAAAATCCTTTACAATTCAAGTCCTAATGTTACAATATAGACCCTAAATTCTAGAAGTTATATCATTTAACTCCTTGACACTAACATTGATATATTATTACAGATTTAGGGCTAAAATAAAATAGAATACTCCTTGACCTCAAGTGTGATGCTTCAAATGTCTCACACAACACTAATTGCACTTGGAATAAACTTGCGAGAAATGGCACACTACTTGAAATCGGCTAGCACTCTTCTTTCTTACTTAAGTTCCGATTTTTGTGAACATAAGGATCCTTGTATAGTGTGTTACAATTAGGGTAACACCATGTAAACCCTAATTTTCATGACCTTACATTTCCATGACCCATGGGTTCTATAAACACCATGGAGCATCCTATGGGTTTTAGCCCAACTTAATAATCCATGGAGCATTAGCCCACTATACAAGTATGAGTGATTTACACAATCAAACCATATATTTAATTAGTCTTCTTTTGATCACTTAATTAATTCTTGATTAATACTAATTAAATAATGTTCTTAATATATTAGAACTTATAATATATTAATAAACCTTAACAGTTATTTCTCTCATTTTAGTCTATCCAAATGCATGATGCCATGCAACCCAAATGGACCATGCTAATCGGGTCAAGTACATTCCAGAAATAGTTATGAACTTAGAAACCTAATCCAACATAGAAATGGTCAGAACGTCGTTCGGATTGATTTCAGGGAAACCGGCATCAGTAATGGTGGTATGTTGGTTTGTTTTGGATGATGTGATAAGGAAACATTGTACACTTAAGTTCAAATTTCGTCAAGATCTTCCTTTCGAACCCAGAGATCTTTGTTATCATCTTCCTTGTCCACACTTCCTTTTGAGGCTGTGCATTCTTGGAGTAGAATGTTTTCAATCTTTCTCGCTCAGTCCGGATGATCAGTTCTGGATTGTCATTGGGGTGGAGAGGAGCAAACTTGATGTAGAACTTGCTGTATGGAGAGAGAGGCAGATCGAGTTGTTCCGAATCATTTGTAGGAATGCCATAGTACATGAAGGTAATATGTCTGAATCATGAAGGATTCCATCTCGACATAGATGAGAGATACCGCACATCATATCATGATTATCTTTAAGCACTTGGATCCGAATGCTATCCTCTTGGGCTTTGTTGATCTCCTCCTGATACCCTCCAAATTTTTGCTTTGGTGGAGGTCCGGAGTGATGAGCTTGATGACTTTCCATGATGGGCTTCTTACCCTTATCTTTATTGAGAATCGAGATGACATGCATCATGTTCTTGTCAATGGAGAATTTTGGAGGAGAAGATTGAAGAGATTCTTCCAGAATGTCATCTGGAGTCCAGAAGGGAGAACCTTCATCAATCAGAGCAATCCTTGGAGCAGGAATTAAAGGCAACATAGATGGAGTGGCCCGAAAAGCATCAACCGTTAACTTAGTTTTGGCTTTGGCCATTTGAATACTTCTTTGAAACACATCCTCCAGAGTGGATGGCTATGAGATTGTAGACCAGATTCTCTGCTCTTCTTCTGTAAGCATCTTGGCAGGAAATTTATTTGGAGCTGGGAGTCCAACTATAGCATTGGCGATATAATCCACTTCCTCTTAATCACTTCCATCATCATCATCATCATTTCCTAGAAGTCCGGAAAGAACTTGGACTTCATCATCGGAATTTCCATCTTTATCTTGGAGCCGATATTCCGAGGTAGTTTTCCAAGGTTGACTTGGACCTTCCCCTCTTGCAACAGTGGACTTGGAAACCGGAGCAAGCATAAGTGACCCTTTCAGATATGAAAAATTTTAAAACACCTTCTGAAAGCTAGCATTGAGTTGAAGGGTGATAGTGTCATAAGCTTCAACAGTGGGGGCTTGAGCTTTGAGATGATTGAAGAGGTCCTGCAAGATTGACAACATTTCATTGAACTTATTGTTCGGAACATCCACAATGTTCTAACAGGCTTGGAGAAGTTTAAGGAGAACTTGCTGCATAATCAGGTTCATTTCGTTCTTTTTCTGGATCTCTTTCTCAGTCTCTGAATTTGCTTCTCATGAAGGACATGAGTTTTCTTGATTAGATCATTGGTGGCAGCAACCAGGTCATCGTGAACCTTCAGCATCTGTGCAATGGTATCCAATTAATGATCAACAGAGGCATCATACTTGTTTTCAACCTCTTGTATGGTGTGTTTGAGCCAGAAAGAGATGAGTTGGTCGAGTTGAGCTTCACATTTAACAACGGTAGGTCCGAACTTATTTGCTTCGGATAGTGATTGAAGGATGGCATCTAGCTTTGAATCCATTATGGAGACTTTCTCATCAATGTTGGAGTTAAGCCCTGCTATGGAAGCTTCAACGATATCGACCTTCTTCATGGTGTCTGATACATTGGTTTGGATGTCAAGAAGAGCAAACAGATCAATGTATTCTCCTATGGAAGATCTGGTGTTTGAGTTGGAATGTTGATGCTTGTTATTGTGAGATTTCAGATTGATTGGAGTATCTGAAATCAAAAGCAGACTTGGATAAGGATGGCTTGGAGTGACAACAAACATAAGGAAGCATATGAGTATCAACAACATTTTCATCATCATCGGTTAGCAACACTTCTTTGAAAAGTTCGTCATCTGAAGTGGAATGAATAGAAGTATGGGGTTGAATCTTGGGAGTTTCTCCGGAAGTGAATTCGAGATTGATAACATCGCCTGAAGGAGCAACATAGGTTTGATTGCTCTGAATGGCTATGTTCCTCATTGCGATCAGTGTAGCTTCAAATTGAGATCGAGTGAGCTCCGGATGACTTGTATGAGCCCTTTCAACAAAATCTTCCCATTGTGGGTCATTAGTACCTGGTCGTCCTGTACCCTTACCGGGTATCAGAACAGTTGGGGCACCAGAAGCAGAAGGCATAACTCCCGCTTCGAAATGCTTGGGGTTCGGAACAGGGGTTCTGGAGTGTGTGTGTGTGTGTGTATAGAATGAGATGGGATATCAAGTGTGACTCATGGGTAAGTTCCAAGGGGTGCAAGGAAATTTTTTCAACACCAACATCACCTTGTTGGGAAGGTGAGGGTGGATTATGAGCAGACTCCCCGTGAGTGTGTGCAAGTGGTTTTGAAACATCGACGGGTACCTTAGACGAGTGGGTTGGAGGGGTGTTCAAGTGGCCATAGTCAGTCTGAATGTCATGAGCGCCTTCCTTTTGAGAGGAAGAGCGGAATTTGGTTCTCTTTTTAGGCTTTGACTTAGATGAAGAAGTCTTCCTTTTGGCAGACTCTTTTATTTTTCCTCCGAACACAGTGGGATTAGCCTCTTTTAGAATAGGCTCAATAGAGATAGGGGAAGGTTGTGTTGGGTCGAACACAACTGAAGTGTCCAGGTGGCGTTTCAAATAAATTGATCCGGAAGGTATTAAGGCCAATATATGTTCCGGTAGACGTCTTACAAGTCCAAAGGAATATTGGTCCGGAATGCGGTAATGTTTAATAGTTTTAAAAGAAGCATATACCTCTTTCAGAAGTGTAGAAATTGAGAAGTACATCATTTCTCTTCAGTTTGATGGCAAATTTTTAGAAATCTTGCCACAACACTTCCGAAAGATCAATTGCGTTGTCGTGTCCTAAACAGACGTTGTATACCACATGCAGCCAATCCTTGCTCAAGGTGTCTGTACCACCATGCTTTCCAGATAGCCCTCTGATGATGAAGTGCATGAGCATGATCCAAAGACCTAAAACCACTGATTTTTTGAACTCCTTGGCTTTGTATTCTTGATTATACCTAATGTGATTCGGAAATTGTTGGAATTATTCGTTTATTAGTTCTTGAACCTTGAAACCTTTGGGGTTTTCTTTGACGCCTATTGCCCTAAGAAAAGTCGATTTGTGAATAGGCAGGATCCTGTCAACGGTGATTTTTGTTTCGAGAGCCCCATCATGGATCTTAATTCTTGTAAACGTCATATGTAGAAGAGTGAGTGGAAGAGGTGCGGTGTATGGGTTCTTCAAAATCCATGGGGTTTAAGGATAAAACTTGTGTTGTGTCTTGGAGGAATGGTTTCAATGAATGTGAGGATGATGATTCCTTAGAGGATTTCCTCTTAGCAGCAGATTTCTTGGTTGCAAGAGCAGTTTGGACAATTGAATGAGACGCCATTGTTGTAGGGAAGATGATTGCTTGAAGAACACAAAAACACAGAATAAGTTTTGGGCTTTTAGAGAGTTTTAAGCCCATAAAGGGTTAAAGGAGGGTTAAAAGGGTTTATATAGGTGATGAAAATGGGTCGGTTCAGAAAGGGTAATGATGAGGATCCAAAATGGAAATGGGTCGCATTTAATATGTTGTTGTTTTTTTTTGGGGGGGGGGGGGGTGAGTAACGGCGATGGGATGTTTGCTTTGAAGGATGCACAAATGTGGCACGGATTTCAAGGAACATGATAAACATATTTTAGAAGTAACCATTTGAAAGTGTATCACTTTAAAAACCTTTGGACTTCCGGATGATTGATTTCGGACAGTTTGAATACCGGAGGGTAATGAAGTGTATTCCGGAACATGGTGATTAAAAAAAAAGTATGGAATGCATTTGAAATAAAAAAATCCAGAGTTAAACTTTGAGATTTTGTCAAAGGATTTGATGTTCCGGAGCCAAAAACTTAAGATTTACGGAACAAAATACTTTTTATAAATTCCGGAGAAAGTTTTGAGACAACATTCCAGAATGAAAATTTTAAAGAAAAGAGTTCCGAAACACAATGAAGAAACATTTCGGAGCAAAGATTTTGAAAAATTCCGGAGTCAAAGTGTTTCAAAAACTAAAAATCTGGAGCAGAAGATTTAGAGAATTCCTTACTGTTCCAAAACTGAATTCCGGAGACACTTTATGAAGTACGTTCCGAGACAAGATTATGACCAGTGTGACTATATTGGTCTTTGAACTTCAAAAGACTTGGGAGCTGTACAACTAAAATTCAAGTGGTGGTTTGAGATAAAGACAAGTAAAATGATCCTATATATTCTAAGAGACAATAGTTCCGGGATGAAAAATAATTTTGAATTCGGAACAAATTTTCTATCTGATGTTTCCATCAGAGAGAGTAGGTTTCTTGAAAGAACTGAGGA